CCCTCGGGCTCGGCCCCCGCGGCCCCGGGCAGTCCCCCGGGAGCACCGGCCACATAACAGCCCGCAGCAACAGCCCCAAAATACCCTTCAAAAAATCAGCCCCCAAGAAAAACGTCTCTGACACTGCCCTCCCAAAGATCAGCTCCAAAAACCCTCCTAAAACCAGCCCCCCCCACCAGGACTCAGCTTCCAAACACCCTCCTGAAAACAGCTCCCCTAGGGAAAAAACCCAAACTTCCCGGCCCAAAACAGCCTTGCCAGGAACAGCCCCAAAACGCCATCCCTGAAACAGTCTCCCCAAAAACCCTTCCTGACACAGCCCCCATGAACAGCCCCAAATGAAGCTCCCAGACTACAGGTAATGTCAGTTTTTATTAATTGCTGCTCCTGCCGGGGCTCAGGAGGTGAGGGGGGCTCATAAGGCACCGCAAACACCGCGGGGACAGTCCCTGCTTTCCAAATCCCAGCGGAGGGGCTCGATCCCACGCCGGCACTGGAAGAGTTGGGGTCACCTGGGAAAGTCATCAGCTCCTCCACCACGGGCATCATTCCGGACGATCCAGTGCCAATCAACACATGGTGCCCGTCGGTGGGCTCCAGGCACAGTCCCAGTGTCACTTCTGTCATCAGCAGGACACTTCATTCCCTGCCCCACTGAAGACAGGAATCCGAGAGTTGGGACTAGAAACGCTTTTTCTTCCCCTTGGGAAATCTGAGGGTGACACCCACAATTGTTTTATTGCCCTATTCTTAATAGAAAGTTAATTACTATTACTTTTTGGTTAGAAAAGACGTTATCCACTGCAGATCCAGACAGGAATCGAAGTCACCGGAGAGCTGGGAGCCACCCCAGCTGCCTCAGTGATGAAGACATAGGTAACACCCATCACACGTTATTTAATCTGTGCCAGTCCTGTGCCAGCTTTAGGCTTTGTAGCTCAGCTCAGCGTTCATCTTCGTGTACATCTCATAAATTGCATCCAGGATTGGAGTGACCCTCGTGAGAAACTGGTGGATTTTTTCTATGCTTTCCTCTTCCTTGACTTCTTTACCCTTCTCCAAGGCCTTCAGCAAATCGGATTTGTAGGGAAGAGCATAGATTGAGCCCTATAAAAGAGGGAGAGGGTGTTTGACTCCCACAAACCCAACAGAGACCACGGGTTGCGTTGTTCCCGTTCACTGGACACTTGTCAGTGCACGGGAACAGCCTTAGGGATGATGTTTGGAGAGGGAGGGAATGCTCACCGTGAAGAGTTTCTGCAGCATCCAGCCGTGGTATTTCTTCAGCGCGATCTCGTAAGCCTTCAAGGCGTTCACTCGGATGAGGTTGGGATGCTCCTCATCCCTCTCACCGTCGGAGATGCTCTGCAGCAACACCAGAATGAATTTCAGACCCCTGGGAGAAGAGCAGAGATGTTGGGCTCAGGGAAGTGGGTGTTTCTCAGCTTCCAGCCTGGTGTTTCCAAGCATCCCAAAAACCCACAGTCCCGGCAGTGCATCCCTCTCGCAGAGCTGGTGCCTGTCCCTGTGTGCCCATCCAGGGAAGAGAGAGAGAAGGGCTGGATGGAGCCCCCAGGGCAGGACACAGGGCCCAGGGAAGGATGGAACTCCCAGGAGAGGCTGTGGCTGAGGGCAGAGCTGGGCAGGGTCAGGTGCAGCCCCATGGATCCTCCAGGCACTGCAGTGTCCTGACATGTCCAATCTGTGGGCTCACACTCTGAGGCTGAGTTCCCCTAGCCATTCCCAGGGGGAAGATCTGGGGAAGGGTTTCCCAACAGCTGTGCTCCCCAAACACAGCACCCCACGCTGCCCAGCCCACAGGGACCAGCCCAGCCCACGCAGCCTCCTTTTGGCATTCTCCAGCTCCCCACATGCCGGGACACAGCCGGAGCAGCTCCCGACGCCGTGAGTCACCTTTTCAACCACATCAGCGCCAGCGTCGCGCCTATCTTGGGCCAGGCTGAGCCGTGCAGCTCCTTCTCCACCTCCAGGATGTTCTGCAGCGTTTTGAACTTAGCAGGATTGGAGTCATAAACCGCCCGGATTTTCTGAGGGCAGAAAAGAGGGTTGGCTCCCAGGCACAGGGACTTTGGCAGGAGCCCCAGCAATAAACCTGTGACCGGATGAGCCCAAAGTCCCCATGGGAAGAAAAGCCTTTTGAAACACCTCCAGTCCCACAGCATCTCTCCCCAGGGATTCTCTCTGAGTCCTCCACAGTCCCTTCTTACCTTGATATTCCCAGTCAGGTCTGCTTTGACTGGTGAGTAGACGATGGGAGTCCCCAGGCAATCTGTGGAGACAGGGAATGAGGACAGTTAGACACTGGTGACACAGGGGACACCACGGACTTCCTGTAACCAACAGGTTTTATTTTAAGCACAGCCCAGGCACTGAGACACACCAGCGGGACTAGAAAAAGATCTCTGAGCTTCGTACATGGTTATTTGCTCTTGGGACAGCCCTGCCACCTACTACAGCCCCACCAGTGACCTCTAATCCCCCTGGCTCCGGGACACAGCCCTGGCAGAACGTCCTGGAACAGCCTGACCGGCACCGGACACTGCCCGTCCGCAGGCAGGCAGCCCCATGTCCTGCCCTTCCGGGGCTGCCACCGAGCCGCCACACAATAGCTGACATTGTGGAGGGCAGCGGGCACACTGTGCCACGAGGGCGGCCACGCCGACACCCACCCATGTCCCAGCACGGGGTGGGATCCATGGGTGGGGTGGCAGCTCCTGCCCCGGGCGATGCCTCTGGATGGGATGCTCCAGGGCACGGCACGATGCTTCCCAACGGGGCTGCTCGGCAGGTTTGACAGGATCGTGATGCAACCCTGGCCCTGGCAGAGCAGTCAAACCCGGCGTGAGCCCTGGATCAGGTAGGGGGGTCACCACCCAGAACTGGGGAGGGGGCACCCCGGAGCGGCTGAGCCCGCAGCAGGCCTGGTCCCAGCCCGCATCTCCCAGCCCCAGCCACCCCGGTCTCACCGAAGAACGGCGGCAGGTGCGCCACGGCCTCCAGGAAGGGCAAAGTCTCGATCTGCTTATCAGCCGGCAGCGGCTTGAACTCGTGCTCCAGCAGCAGCGCCATGACTGACGAATCTTCCCCCCTGTCCCCCTCACCGCTCCCCGGCTGAG